AATTTTGTGGTGAATGGCACCTAGTAAAATGAATCCTTCTAAGAAACCTTCCTAGCTTGTTTGTATGCCTATTGGTGTTTAAAGTTTGCAAGTGAGATTATGGAGTGGATATTAGGGAAGAGTTTGTTTTCAGTGCAGTGAAGGCCATTTGAGAGTGGTCCTTTTTAATGCTTTGACATTCACTATATGCTTTTTAAACTGTGTAAGTGCACAGGCATGGTTGTCATGTACAGTTACAAAATGAATCAAACAAACATGACAGCCTGACCTCTTCATTCCACAAATTGCCTAGAATATTTAAGAGAAATACTTATGACACACACAGAGCTCTAATATTAATCTGACTTTGTCTACAGATAAATGACTTTCTTGGGGAGAAAGAATACTTAAGAGTCACCTACCTTTAGAGAACTCCTATTATCCGGTAATTTCTCCTTCTTTTCTCTACAGACTATTCAGTCTTGGAGGTTACAAAGTATATCCTTTTAATTAATAGGTTAAATCCGATATGCAACATATGAACACATACTGGAAAGGATTACTTGAAGTAATTACCCATGACAAACCACTGTTCAGTTACTCTAGTTTCTAGACATCAGTATGCCACATGGTTCTGGCACAACGCGGTGTAGGGAAATTTGACATAATGACAAGAAAGCGAAGACCAACTTTTCATTTTGGGAGTGGGCTGGGAGAAATGGGATGGTGGAGAGAATAGAAGCGTCTTCTATTGTGTGTACACCCACCAAAAAAAAAAAATCCTGCATGTTTTCTGTGATATGGCTACACTTATGTGGACTGCATAGTTTGGAGGGGGCCGGGGAGGGTTGCCACCCCCAACTGAAAACCTCAGGCAGACACAGAATTTGACACCCCCAAGCGTGACCCCATTGGTCTGACTGGAGTTGCCTCCCCCCCAAATATAGACGTCAAACTACACCTGAGTTTGGGGCCCTCTGTCAATCAGATAGCAATCAATCCAAACAAAAATATGCATTTCACATTTTCAGAGGCATCTTTTTGTACCTTCTTAGTGGAACACTTCCATAACTAAAATGGAATCAGTTAAACCCTAACATAGGAATATGAGGACTAAGAGTAATGAGCACTGTATAAATACCTAGGTGGACGGTTCTTACCAGTGAAAAATCTTATATTCTCTAAGCTACTCCTTTTGTAAAGCTGTTGCTATCACCACCACTATTTCTGAAGAAACATTCTGGGCATGGAGAGTAATCCAAAAAACAAAGAACAGTGAGTGCATATGGAAGTGGAACTGCTCTGTGGCAAGTTTCTGAGTTGTGACATTTCCAGAACAGTTGGATTTGAGGGTACTTTCTTTGAGATTCTGCAGCAAGTAGTAAATGCCTTGGGTCTATTAAAATTCAAGCTGAAGATCCTGAATTCTTTACAGGAGAATTTCATTAAAATAATTCACAACATAGTCTGTCCGTCAATGACTGTGCTTTTAGGGAATCCTGAGATAATAGTGCTAATTCTGTCAAAAATCATTGGGCAGTGGTTAGGCTCTCTCTGGAGGGTTCTTTTTGTTGTCACCCATCCAAGATAAGAGGCCCCGGAAACAGAGAAGCAGATGGTTACTTCCAGCTGAGCTGCTACCAATTTGTAGTTCCTCTTGAGTGTTAGTTAGGGGATACACTGTCATCCAGCGTAAGGAACTCTGAACATAATGAAAAGGTTAGTTACTTACTTTACAGTAACTGTGGTTCTTCGAGATGTGCTGTCCACACAGATTCAGTTCTTGGTGTGCATGCATCCCATGTGTATAAAATTGGATTCTTTTGAATGGCAGCATCTATTGGGGTAGCTTCCCGCAGCTGAGAGTGCAAGGTGCAGTGAGGCAGTCACAATCTGCACTCAGTTCCTTTGTCAATAAGAATCCCATAAGAAGGGGCTGTGCCTAGAGAGGATGTATGGTGAGTCACAGAATCGGTGTGAACAATACATCTTGAAGAATCACAGTTGCTGCAGGTTAAGTAACCATTCTCTCTTCTTTGAGCAATCATCCTCACCAATTCCACTCTTGGTGACTGACAAGCAGTCACCCATTCAGCTGGAGATGGGCAAGGGAAGTCCTACTTGAACTGAGTGCAGGACTGCCTTACCAAAACTCGCATTTGACCTGTACCCTTGAACTGGGGAATCGAGAGTGGTAAATGTGTGGATTGAGCTCCACGTTATTGATCCACAACTCTCGGATATGGGGATGCTATCCAAACTGGTTGCAGAGGTTGCTTGAACCCTAGTGAAATGAGCCCTAATATGTCCAGGGGAATCTTTCTTAGCTCAGTTTTAACAAGTCATAATACAGTCTGAGACCCATCTGGACTGCCTCTGGGACAAGACAGGTTGTCCCAAATTCCTCTCAAACACCACAGCCTGGGCATTACCTGAATGGCTTGGTCCTAACTACATAAAAAGGACAATGCTCTCCCGATATGCAACATGTAGAGTATTATTTCACCCGGGGCAAAATGCAGCATAAAGAAGAAAACAGGGGGGTGAACTAACTGATTGATATAAGTTGGAGACTACCTTGGGCAGAAACTTTGGGTTTAAGAGTGACTCTATCCTTTTGAAAGACTGTTAATGGAGGGCCCACCCTGAAGATCCAGATCTCCCTTATTCTTCTAGCTGATGTGATGGCTACCAGGAAAGATGTTCTCACAGGCCTGGTCTACACTAACACCCCAATTCGATCTAAGGTACGCAACTTCAGCTACGTGAATAACGTAGCTGAAGTCGACATACCTTAGTTCGAATTTACCGCGGTTCAGACGCGGTCCACACGCGGCAGGCAGGCTCCCCCGTCGACTCCGCGGTACTCCTCTCGCTGAGGTGGAGTACCGCAGTCGACGGCGAGCACTTCCTGGTTCGAATTATCGCGTCCAGACCAGACGTGATAAATCGAACCCGGAAGTTCGATTGCCAGCCGTCGAACTACCGCGGTAGTGTAGACATACCCACAGACATGTGGTAAAGGTGTTAGCCATAGTGCTTTTGCACTACTAGAAGGTGTTCCAATACTATAGCGATGAGCGCAATGTAAGAACCTATGCAGAACAAAATGTGGGTTGCAGCCATCCGACCCCTTATGCCCTCAACTGTGGGAAGCAAGAGGGTGGCTGGGACACAGGTGTGGCCCCCACGAACACTCCTATTTAAAAGAATCCAATCTTACACACATGGGCACACGTGCACCAAGAGAGAAATCCATGTTGACAAACACTTGAAGAACATATTATTATAGTGAGGAAGCAGAGACCAAGAATGTTGTTTGCAGAATGTTACTGAAGTTTATTCATGCTTCTTGGCAAGGTTATTTTAGACTCTGGAGTTTCCCCACCAGGACAGGGTCAAAACCAGCTCTTCAGAGTAGACTGACAAGGCTCTCTCAGGGTCACCTTTTCCAGAAAAGTAGACATCCTTTTTCATCTTTTGTCTGTGGCCAGGGATTGGAATTGTAGCATCTTGGATACCTGTCTGATCAGGAATATCTAATAGTTGGAGGGTGCCTTCTTATTTTCCTCCCTTCTAAGGTGAGGGCTATTTTCTCAGGTTTCCTAGGTCCTTGGAAAAGTTCCATAGAAGGAACCAAAAAGGAGGCATGTGGGCTCTGTAGCAGCTGCAAAGGCTGGTCTGCTATTATTCAAAGAGAAAGCTCACCTGCCAATCAAGAAGGCTCTTCAATGGGAAGGGAGACTGGTATGCACTCTAAACATATGTTCAGTACAGACCGCAGGGCATCTATAGCCTCACTCCCCTTCTGCCCTCCCATTATGAAATATTAAAAAACTTGCAATTGCTACAACAGAAACTGTAATTAAAACTACCCACAAACAACAGACCGAAAACAATACTGATGTCGCAACCTGTAGCTGCCAAAAACACAAATGAGACAGCTAGGGCCAGGAAAACAGATGCTGTTAGTAAAAGAAATACACTGTACCAAAAGTTTTAGAGCAAACCAGAAATCTCCCTTGGGCTTGGCAACAGTGAAGTGGAAACAAACTCTAAAATCTATACCACAAAGAAACATAATTACTTCAAGGAATGCCATCTCTGGCATGCCAAGCAGTATTAGCTAGTATCTCCTATTGTTACTATGAGGGAATATTACAAGAAAGTTCAAACAAGCATTACATTTTATTCAAATTATTTCACTAGCAACACTTTTTTGAATTTGGTCATGTTTAAACAGCAACAGTGGCCACCTTTAAAAAGTTAGCTTGTTGACAGTCTCCACACAGTCATATGGGAGATAACACTATTTCTAACTGCGTGGCATCTCCTGGATGCCCTCTGCCAGACAGGTTTATAACCCTATACAGAGCCCCAAATTCCAAGCTGCTGCTGGTACAATGCAGATTCAGCTAGCTAGCAGTCCCCGTTGTCTTACATTTCTTTTGGGGAGAATGGGGGATTAGGGTGATACGGGCTAGTGTTCAAGGGGTAAGTTCTTCAGAGGGATTTGATGGAGAATAAGATGGAGGACTGTAGCACTTGGAATGAGAGG